GAAATGGCTCGGCTGGTAAAGGTATTTACCTCAGACCTCCAGACTGATGTATAAAAGCCAGGTGATGGTAAGATAGGCAGAGACAGGCAGACTCCCTGGACTGTGGAGTCACCTGGCCTGGCCTCTGCGAGGGAATTCCAGAGCAGTGACAGACCCTGCAACAAACAAAATGTGGGAAGCCCCCAAGGACCCACACTCAGGCTGTCCTGTCATCTCCACCCTGACGGCACACGTATCTGTATACACACACACACACACACTCACACACACACACTCACACACACAATGTAAAAACCAACCAACAAAAACACTATTCTAGGCTGGGGAGATAGACGTCTCCGTGGCTAAAGAACTTGCTGAGCAAGCTGAGTACCGCGTTGGAATCCCCAGGACACACATGAAGAAGCCAGGTGTGGCGGCAGGTGCTTGTAACCCCATTGCTGGGGAGGTGGAGACGTGTGGATCCTCAGAGCTCCCTCGGCCGCCCGCCTACCTGAAATGGTGAGCTCCAGGGTCAGTGAGATGCCCTGCGTCAAAAACTGAAGTGGAGAGTCACCGGGGAAACTATCTTCTATCCTGGCTGGCTTGGAACTCTATCCTCCTGCTGCTGCTGCCTGAGTGCTGGGTTAGACGTGCCCAGCCATGCCCACATCTTTTTTTTTTCTTTCAAAATTTAATTTTTTGAGTCGGGCGGTGGTGGCACACACCTTTAATCTCAGCACTCGGGAGGCAGAGACAGGCGGATCTCTGGGAGTTCGAGGCCAGCCTGGTCTACAAGAGCTAGTTCCAGGACAGGAACCAAAAAGCTACAAAGAAATCCTGTCTCGAAAAATCAAAAAAAATTAATTTTTCAGTGTTAAGCCACGTGAGTCTTCAATTTTATTATTGCATGTATGCGTCTGATGGAGATGTGTGTGGAGGTCAGAGGAGAACTTTGTGAGGTGGGCTCTCCCCTTCCACCTTTCTGGGGGGAGGGGTCCCCAGGTTGGAATGCAGGTCATCAGGCTTGGTAGCGAGTGCCTTACCCCTTACCCATCTCATAATCCGTATTTGTTTATTTTAATACAAAGTTTAGATGTTGGAGGGACGGCTCAGCAGGTGAGAGCAGTTGCTGCTCTTCCAGCAAACCCAAGGTTAGTTTCAGAATTCACATGGCAGCTCTGTAACTCCAGTTCCAGGTATCCAATGCCCTCTTCTGACTTCTAAGGGCACCAGGCACATGCATGTGGTGCAAAAACCCACATACATACATAAATAATAATTTTAAAAACTAAAAGTACTTGCTATTTTTGCAGAAGTCCAGGTTTCAGTTCCCAACACCCACATGTCAGCTTACAACAGCTGATAGCTTGTGTTCAAGGGGGTCTGACACCCTCTTCTGGCCTCCACCGGTACTACATGCACACGATGCACATACGTGCAAGCAAGGCACTCATACACATAAAATAAGAGTAAATAAATATTTTAACAACAACAATAATAATAAAAACAAGGTTTCATTAATTTTCCCAGCTGGCCTCAGGTCTGTACTCCTTCCACCTCAGCCTACCCAGCAGCTGGAATTATAGGAATATGCCACCATACCCCACAGAACACTCTCCTTAGAAGAAGGGAAATTATATTTTACGGTGACATTATAACAACATGGAAAGTTATTTTGCATAATGTTAAGCATTTTGCAAAACAGTGCATAAGTTATTACTATCATGGAAACACACTTAGGAATAAACTGCTTATATTTTAAAAGGCCAAATCTACTGATAAGCAGTCACTAGGGACAGAGCTCCTGTGCTCACAATGCCTTGTGGACATGGGGAGACCTAAGAATGAGTCACCCCTCAGCTGGGTGCTCAAGGCCCGGAGACTCACCGTACCACCATACCGAGAAGCTTCAGCTGTCTTTTGGAAGCAAAGGGTCTCTCTGGCATCAGTTCCCTGTGGGGCCAGCCCTGGATCCAGCTCTGCTCTGAGGGCTGGTTTCCTTGAACGTTGGACACCAAGCCAGAGACTCCCCCACTAAGTTCTTTCTTCTCCTTCTTTCTGTCTAATATGTCATCTCCTTGCTGGTTCCTTTCTCTCACCTCTTGCTGCACCATGGCTGTGAGATGATGCTGAGGCGGCTCAGCTAGGGACGTGCCTGCTGCCAAGTGTAAGGACCGAGTCTGCATTCCCAGAACCACAGTATAGAAGCCAGCTGTGGTGGGGGACGTCTGTTACCCTGGCCTCGGGCAGGGGATGCTTCAGAGGCAGGCAGACCCCTGGTCTAGCTAACTGGTGAACTCTGGGTGCAGCGGGAGACTATCACAAAAAAAAATTAGGAGGAGGGGCTGGAGAGGGAGAGATGAGTCAGCAGTTAAGAGAGCTTGCTCTCCTTTTTTTTTTTTTTTTTTTTTTTTTTTTTTTTTTTTTTTTTTTTTTTTTTTTTTTTTTTTTGTTTTTTTTTTTTTTTTTTTTTTTTTTTTTTTTTTTTTTTTTTTTTTGGTTTTTCGAGACAGGGTTTCTCTGTGGCTTTGGAGCCTGTCCTGGAATTAGCTCTGTAGACCAGGCTGGTCTCGAACTCACAGAGATCCGCCTGTCTCTGCCTCCCAAGTGCTGGGATTAAAGGCGTGCGCCACCATCGCCCGGCTCCTTTTTTTTTTAATTTATGATTTACTTATTTATTTATACATATACAATGTTAGAAGAGGGCATCAGAACTCATTACAGACGGCTGTGAGCCACCATGCGGTTGCTGGGTATTGAACTCAGAACCTCTGGAAGAGCAGTCAGTGCTCTTAACCTCTGAGCCATCTCTCCAGTCCTTGAGCTTGCTCTTCTTTAAGAGGACCCAGGTTCAGTCCCCAGCGACTCATAACCACCTGTAACTCCAGCTCCAGAGGATCTGACAAACTCTTCTGGCTTCTGCAGGTACCAGTGCACACACAGAAAAGCTTCTAACCCAAGGCTGACACTGGCCTGGGTTCTTCATGAGGACCTCATGTCTGAGGCCCTGCATATCTTGAAGCCGCCAGCACTGACAGTACACAACCGTGCTAATCCTCTACTCGAGTCACCCCATCCATTTTGAGCTTGAGATGTAGCTGAGCTGGGCATGCTCTGGCTTTGCCAAGAAAAGCCCTGCACATCCTTCTGGCTCTCCCCAAGTCTCTTCTCCAGGCCCTCTCCTCTGAACCCAGCAAGCTTTGGGTTTAGGCTCTTATCACTGTATCCACCCACCCTCGCTGGCCGTGAGAAATAGCCTGAAATTTGTTGGGGAGCCACTTGCTCTCCTGCAGGGCTATCAGTTCCAGAAGGGCAGAGCTGAGTCTTCCTTGGTCACCGTTAATGCTCCTCTGTCTTCCCCAGAGCTGCGTTCAATCGCTAGGAATGAATGAGAGGGGGAGTGGACACACTGGAGTTATCAGTGGACAGCTAGAGCCTACGCTCTTCCTGCCCTGGGGGTATCTCAAGGAGGACTTCGCACTGGTGGGTGGGGTCGCCCTGCCTTTGGAACTAAGCAGTCCTGGGCAGCAGAAGAGGAGGCAGCTTCTCAGCTTGCCACTGCTTCCGGAGAGGCAAGTGCAAGTTGAGCAGCTGGTAGCATAAAATCCTGCCTCCTTTTGGTTTTAGATTTAAAATTTTTATTTTTAATGCATATGAGTGCTTTGCCTGTATGTTTGCCTCTGTACCATGTATATGCCTGGTACCCAAGAAGGCCAGAAGAGGGTGTTGGAGCCCCTGAGACTGTAGCTGCAGGTCGTTGTGAGCTAACATGTGGGTGCTGGGAACTAAACTAAAGCTCTCTGCAAGAGCAGCCAGTGCTCTTGACTGCGAGGCTTCTCTGCAGCGCCCCCTCCTTGGTTTTGGACCCAGAGCTTTGTACAAGCCAGCACGCTCTGCCTGAGCTACACCCCAGTGACCCATGACAGGGTCTTAAGTGCGGAAGTTGTCATTTCTTCAATTTGTCTCCCTTCTACATTTATTTTGTTTTGTTTTGCTTTGAGACAAGACACAGTCTCGGGGCTGGAGAGATGGCTCAGAGGTTAAGAGAATTGCCTGCTCTTCCAAAGGTCCTGAGTTCAATTCCCAGCAACCACATGGTGGCTTACAACCATCTGTAATAAGGTCTGGTGCCCTCTTCTGGCCTGCAGACATACAGACAGAATATTGTATACATAATAAATAAATATTTTTTAAAAAAAGACACAATCTCACGAAGCCCAGGTTAGCTTTAAAATCATCGTGTAGCTGAGGAAGGTCTTGAATTTCTGATTTCTCTACCTTTGCCTCTCAAGTACTGGGATTATAGACTGAGTTCTATTTGGTGCCAGGAATGAAACCCAGGGCATCTAGAATGGTAGGCAAGCACTGAGCCACATGCCCAGCCCTCCCATGCCTTCTGTTTGTTATTGTCCTGCACTGTAAGGCGACATGTCTTTGCACTCTGGCTCTGGTACTCTTGAGGGTCTTGTCCAATTAGGAGAGGAGAAATGAGATTGTCCCCTTGGGGAAAGAATGGTGTGTGTGTGTGTGTGTGTGTGTGTGTGTGTGTGTGTGTGAGCACATGTACAGTGGGCCTGTGGAGGAGCTTGCTGGAACCAGTTCTTAGGTCCCATCATGTGTGTTCTTGGGATGGAACTCAGGCTTGGCAGCAAGTGCCTTAACTCCCTGAGCCGTCTCTCTGGCCCTTCTTGGAGGGGGGTTTAAATGGTAGAAGCTCACCATGTGAAGGTTCCCACAAGTTAGTAATGTCACCTCCAGTCACTGTTGGGTGACATCTATCAGACATATATCTCCCCTAGCAATAAGCTGGAAAGAACCTACAAGCTACTGCTGGCCGCCACGGTCGCTGCTGCCTTTGCCCTGTCTCCTTCAGGCCCAGAGCGAGGGCTGGCACTGTCCTGCTCCCCTTTCACAGCTGCTTCCATTATTGCTCTGGGATTGAGGCTTGGGGTGGGGGGAGACCAGGATGGTCTGAGATGACTGAGTCTCAAGCGTCTGTCCTTGCCCTCTGTCCACAGGTGGGTCCCCATCTTGCTACATTCCCCACGGAGGCCGATCGCCAGCGAGCTCTTAAGGCCCACCGGGAAGAATACGCCGTGCGCCAGGGCACCCTGCGGATGGGCAACTATACCCACCCCTAGCCCCCCCCCACAGGGGAGCCTCCTTGATGCAGTAGAAAAATCCCCAAAGAACTTACTTTGTCCCCCAAATTCCAGGAAGACACACCCAAATTTTGACCCAGCTTTTTGTCACAGGGACCTCAAATTCATGTCTTAGGCTACTTACCTTTTTTATAATAACCCCGAGCCCCCAACCCTTTCTGTTTTGTCTTACCCCCAATTTCCCTCTGCCTAGGGAGCTCCGTCTTCCTCCTCGCTCTCTTCTACTTCCTCCTCTCCTCTTTCCCCCTTTCTCCTCTTCCAGGAGACCCACTCTGCTTCACAAGTCTTAGTTTACAACATAAACCAAAATTACAAGAAAGTTTTAAAATAAAAATAAATAAATCCAGGCTATGAATCAGTTTCACAGCCCTGTTAAAAGGTACCAAGAAGGCCCTGTGTTTTTCCTACAGAAAGTATACCCCCGGCAAGCTTTGAAAGCCATCCTTTTGTATTCCAAACATGAGCTTTAATTGCCCTTCTGGGGATGTCTGGGGTCTCAACATGGTGGGATTCTCTCTCTGGGACCCCGGCAGCAGGAAGAGTCTGCGGTTCATTACTCAGGGCCAGCCCCCGCCCTCAGTGCTGTGGCCTTGTCAATCACACAGACTAGCTTGGACTTCTTCCCTTGTGCAGGGGTAGGGATGGGGGTGGGGCTCCAGCAGTGGAATATCTCCGTACCTGAATCTCATCTTTCCCGGGTGTCTCCCCGCCGACAAATTACAAACTGGTTTATTTTAAACACAAAAGATGACTTGCTCTCTTCACCTTAAGTCTTTATTTGAAAGCAAACTGTAAAGAGAAGGGAACTAACTTCAGATGTGGGCGTTGCTACACAGACTTTCAAGGTATGCCAACCTCCACAGCATGCCTACAGAGCCCTCTTTCAGACAGGCCAGTTTGGGGGGCTCTAAGAGCCTGTCCTGGTCAGCGTTCTATTGCCGGGAAGAGATGCCATGAACACACAGCTCTTATAAAGGTAAGTATTTAGTTGGGGCTGGCTTACAGTTCAGAGGTTTGGTTCCTTGTCATGATGGCACGCAGGCAGACATGGTGCTGGAGAAGGAGCTGAGAGTTCTGCATCTGGGTCTGCAGACAGCAGGAAGAAAAAGACACTGACCATGGCTTGAGTACTTGAAACCCCCCAAACACACCCCCAGTGACACACTTCCTTCAACAAGGCCACGCCTCCTAATCACTCTCAGGTAGCACCACTCCCTGGTGACCAAGTGCTCAAAAGTGTGAGCCTCTGGGAGCCTTTCCTATTTAAATCACCATAGAGCCCTAGGCAATTTGAAGCTCTCAGGACTCACCTGTGCCCCTGCCTGCCTGGTGCCTGAACTGGGAGTCTGACATTTGTTCACCCCTAACCAACCCCAAATGTACAGAACGCTCTGTTTCCCCCAAACCTGCTTCTGCCTCTGTCTTCACACGTCAGAAGTGACACCATGCACCCAGCTGCTGAAGCTCAAACCTTCCTTGGCTCAGGTCCCTTTTCTCTCACATCTAATTCAGCACAGCTTCCGAGGTGTAGTTCAGTCCGTAGAGCGCTTGCCCAGCATTTACAAAACCCTGAGTCCCGTCCCCAGCATGGCTTAAAACAGGTGTAGAGGAACACATCTAGAATAAGGTTAAGTTGTAAGTTCAAGGACAGCTTGGGCTCCATGGAACACGATCTTAGAAAAAAAAGAAGCCAGGTGGTGGTGGTACATGCCTTTAATTCCAGCACTTGGAAGGCAGAGGCAGGAGGATCTCTGTGAGTTCGAGGCCAGCCTGGTCTACAGAGTGAATTCCAGGGCAGCCAGGGCTACATAGTGACACCCTGTCTTGAAAAAAACAAATACAAGAAAAAGAAAGGAAGAAAAAAGAAAGATACGTGACTATGATTCACCTGGATCCTGTGGATGTTGTCTGCAAAACCGGAGCCTTGGCAGCTTTCTCTCTATCTCTCCCCTCTCTCCTCAGCAGCCTTCTCTCTCTCCCACCTCCACTCCCTCCACATTAGCAGCCTTCTCCCCCTCCCCGTGTCTCTTTCTCTCTCCCTCCACATAACATAACAGCAACCTTCTCTCTCTCTCTCTCTCTCTCTCTCTCTCTCTCTCTCTCTCTCTCGCGCTCTCTCTCTCCCTCCACACAGCAGTAACCCTCTCTCTCTCTCTCTGTCACTGTCTCTGTCTCCACTCCCTCCACCTGAGTTGCGTCCCAACTCAGAGAAGTTCAGAAAGCTCCTACTGGCTGCTGGCCTCAGCCTCCTAGCTCCTCTGAAGCCACGCTCTGGAGCAGGCTTTCAAGTTCTGTAGCTTCTGAAGGAAAAGCCAAGGTCCAGAGGGATGTTCCACCGCCGTCACTTCCTACCTGAGTCCTTCCCTGAGTCACCTCCCACCTCTGGCCCCTTCTCATTCCCCTATGGGCCTGCTAGCTTCTGCCTCAGGCTTAGAGCTGTTTTCTGCCCTGCCTGCTGCACTTGAGGTCCACACTGTCACCTGCCTCGTCGTTGTCTTTCAGATCTTACCTGAGCTCCTCCTTGCACAGCCCCAGGTAAATTCACACTCGCCTGTGTGAATTCTCTGCAGCAGAGGACACCCACTCTGGCTCACTGTCTGTCTTCCCTCCAGAGGGACGCCACTGCTGCCATCAGGGACCTCAGACCCCAGAGCCAAATCCTATGGGTCACCTGGTAGGTGTTCAGGCCTGTCTGCACAGTGGCCACTGATCAGAGATTCCCCAGGGCCTGGAGGGTTCTGTACCCCAATCTGAGTAGACTTCCACATTGGTACATACTCCACATACACACCTATACACACACAGTACACATACACACACACACACACACACACACACACACACCTGCGCTGCAGTCCATTAGCAGGTACATACTGACCCTTTGGGACCCTGGCTCTGTAAGGCTGTGAAAAACCCTACACCACCTACGAGCTTGAGCCCTATTCTCACTCCCAGAGGGAAACAAGTCTTCTGACTCACTTGGCTGAAGCCATCCTGAGTCTCTGAGCAGAGTGGAGATGCAGAGGTAAGCCAGAGACAGGGATGAGGGTGCTTGGGGGGCTGGGGTGTGTGTGTCGGCCACAGACCCGGCAAACTGGGTTAAGAGCATGAAGCCAGTATGATCCAGAGCAAGTGTCCAGACCTCTGGGCCTGAGTGCGAGGCAGGATCCTGTTCCATCACCCCTGAGTTAGAGAGCAGTCCCTTAAAGAATGTGTGGGATGTGTTAACACCAATAAACTGTGGATAAACATGAGTTTTTGTTTTCTTTTTCTTTTTTTCTTTTTTTTTTTGGTTTTTCGAGACAGGGTTTCTCTGTGGTTTTGGAGCCTGTCCTGGAACCAGCTCTGTAGACCAGGCTGGTCTCGAACTCACAGAGATCCGCCTGCCTCTGCCTCCCGAGTGCTGGGATTAAAGGCGTGCGCCACCACCGCCCGGCGAGTTTTTGTTTTCTTGCACTAAAACACACTAGGAGTGAGTGAATCCTATCACAGGTGTAGGATGAGCCCATGTTCAAAGAGCAAGGAAGAGATACTTGGGATCAAGCCACCATTTAGCAAGAGGAGCAGCTGTATCAGAAGCCAGATAATTTTCTAAAGCATCCCTCCCCTCCAAAAAATTGCACGTTGGGCTACTAAAGGTAGGGTTAGCCTTACTGTGGCATTGACAGAGTAGCTAGAAGGACCAGGCTGGCTTTCCCCAGGACCTCACTATCCAGCTATCTTTTGCCCTGCACATTGTGCCTCTTGTGGGGCCCGTGACAATGCCTGGGCGCTGTCCTCATGGGTCATGCTCAGGATTAGGGCTGGATCTCAGTGAACTCAGTGAAATCCCTCAGCTTCTTGTCCTACAGCGCCACCCACTGGAGAGCCAGAGGCAGAGCCTATGGAGATTCCTGGCCCAGCATCGGGAATCAAGTTCTACTGACTTGATTCTTCTGACCTCATCAATTACTTGAGCCTATACAAAGCCCCACATCTGGGTCTGGTCTGATCCACCGCTTAAAGTATCCCTCCACATTAGCCAAGGCCTTGTCCCCACTTGAGCCTGGCTTGGGGTCGGGGTGCCTGACCTGTTGATCGAGATAGAGGCCCTGAAGGCTCCAGTCTGCAGGGACTGGGAATTCATTTTGTTCATTTCCTTAACCTCCCTCTACCACCATCCCACCAACAATCTCACAGGTAGCAAATTCATGTTTAAAAGACACTAGAACCCAGGGCCAGGGAGATGGCATAGTCAGAAAGTTGCCTTAAAAAGACACCCCCTCCACCTCTACAATCTCACTATGTAGCTCTGTCCTGGAACTTGCTATGTAGAGTAGTCTAGCCTCGAACTCACAGAGATTTGACTACCTTTGCCTCTTAAATGCTGGAATTAAAGGTGTGTGTGCCACCACACCGAGCCCATGGGCCTGCTATCCTGCTATCTTCTGATCCCAGTGTTGAGGAGGTGAACCCAGGTGCACCCCTGAGCTTGCAGGTCAAACAGCGTAGCCTACTTGACTAGTGCTCACCAGTCCAGTGAAAGACTCAAAAGACAAGGTGGGTGACTCCCGAAGATATGACATCTGAGGTTAATCTCTGACCTATTCCCTCCCAACACATAAGTATGCACACCTATACCTACATACACACACACTTACACATGCGTACACCTACATACACATACCTACACACATACAGTTACATATGCATGCACCTACACACGCGTATACCTACACATACATACACACATACACATCTATGCACACATACACCTACACAGGCATACACCTACACACACAGACACACCTACACACATACACATCTACACACTTACACACACGCCTACACACATACACACTCACACCCACACTCAAATGGAAACTAGAACTCAATCAGGGAGGTCTACATCTCATCCCAGAATCTGCCTCTAAAATGACCTGCCAACTGGGGAAGCAAGCAGATGGGGAGAACTTAGCCCTCCACCCCAGGTCCTTCTCCAATAGTTCTTTGTGAATGTGGGTGTCATGGAGGTATGCCTTGAGCCCCTGTTTGGGCCATCCCCTCAACATCACCAGTTAGAATTTGGGAGCATTCTTCTTCCCAGTTGGTTTCTTGGCCCTGGTTTGTACTCACTGACTCTAGGAGCCACAGGGAGGCATAAGGTCTGGATCCATCCTGGACTACTTAGAAGTTTTTGGCTTGTCTTCTGGGGTGGGGGCAGGTGGTGCCAGGCAGATGTGCATCTAGCAGGAAGGGCCAGCAGGTAGGCCTCTGGGACAGGAGTGTTGAGATGGAATCCCTGGAAGAAGGGCTCATGAAGAATGAAGAGT